GCTCCCGTGTGACCCCACCAGGACCAAATCCAATCTCCGGACGGGGTTTCCATAGGGATGGGGTGGGGGGTGATGATGTCGGGGCGCCAAGGGCGGGTGTGCCGGTGCCCCGGCCCCCTCCCCAGCACGGCGGGAGGAAACGGCCGTGTCCAGCCTTTCCCGAGGATGAGGATTTCCTTCCTCCCATTGAGCAGGGACCCTGGGGTTAGCACGCAGCCGTGGGGCGCTCGGCCACAGGATGGGGGGGTTTGGCTGGGAATTGGGGGGCACAGACCCACCCCCCCCCGGCACACAGCCCTGGGAGCTGCTCCCTCAGGACCTCCTGTTCCTCCCCCTGCCCGGCCAGGACCCCAGGGATGAAGGAGATGGATTTGGGTGGGCACAGGATGGAGACGTGCAGCCATTTCCTTCTCCCCTTCCCTTCTTCCCAGCCTGAGTGCGCTGCGGATATTCTGGGGGCAAGAAGAAGCTGGACACAGAGATTACTGGCTTCCCAGAAATGCTCTTCCTGCAGCTGGGAAAGGCTGTCACTGGGAGCAGTGACACGTCTCATTTCCCTTGAACGGGGGCTTTCCCAGGGCCTCTGGAGGGGATGAGGCCCCAGGGGAGATCCCGGGTGGGAATTCCCCTGGGAGCAGCCGGGCTCTCCATGGACGTGGCTCCACTGGGGACCCAGCTGCCTTGGGGGTCCTGGACAACCCAAACAGTGTTGGCCCATGGGCTGCACCCCGGGGGTCCCGGCCTGGCCGGGCTCCATCTGCTGCCCTCCCCACGCCCGCTAATCCCGGGATTAGCAGCCAGATGCCAGGCCAGGTTTGCTGCAGGTAACGAGGATCCCCCGGGAGGAGGTGATGGACATCAAAGTGCAGGCAATTATGGATAATCCCACCCGAGTGTCCCCCTGGCTGGGCGGGCATCGTGGTGTGGGCCCCGAGCCAGGAGGGACAGGGAGCCCCGTGTCTGCTGGGGACACGTCCCAGGGTGCCCCCAGGAGTGGGACCCCAGGACAACGGCTGTGCTGGAGCAAAAATCCGGGCAGAAATGCCCTCCGTGGGTTTGGCACTGCTGGGGATGTGGCTGAGCCCTCCCTATTCACACCCGAAATGGGGATAAGCTTCAGCCTCCTACAGCCCGCCGGGAATCCCCTCACTGCTTCCCACTGCTTCCCAGCGGATGCAGCTGATGGGAAGTGGCTGTTTTCCCTGCAAAGCCCATCCCAGCATTCCTGGGAGGCCACGTCTCCCACCCTATCCCTGTTCCTTGGACCTGCAGTCAGTCAGCTCCTGGCTGCTCCCACCCCAGCTCTGCACAGATGGAGGATGGACACTGTCCATTGCTGGGTCCCGGATTTCTGGGTTATCCTGCAGCTCAACCCCCTCACTGGGGACCTGACAGACACTTCCCAGCATCTCCTCATCCCCCCAGAAATCCCAGAGCCCGTCCCTGGCTGGTTCACAGCCAAATCCAGCATCCAGCAGCAGCTGAGGTGGGAATTGGGATGGGGGAGGGTGGGACAGGAGCACTCCACCAAGCCAAAGGTGATCCCACCTGGGCTGTGCCATCCTGTATCCAGAGACTGGTAGCTTTAATTCTTCCTTAATAAATATTTTTGACATTAACAAAGCCAAATCCCAGAAGTGGCTAATCAAGGATTTGTTTGCCCACCATCACCTCGCACCGTGGCAGGTTGTGAGATCAAGAGGGGAAGAACATCAGAGGGGTGGTGGGAGCTGCTTCCCTGTGCCCATCCCACCAGCATCCCTGCTCCTCCAGGGCTGGGAGCTGGGGACCCCCGAGCAGGACCCCAGACCCTGCTCTCCTCCAGACCCAGAGCTGTGGGGTCTCCATGGGGGCACCCAAACCCAGGAGATGCTGAGCTGAGCCCAGATGAGCTGAGCCAAGCTGAGCTGAGCCGGCCACCACTGCCTGACCTTGCCCCGGGGCTCACCTGGCCAAAACCGGGGCAGGACACAGCCCACGGGGCAGGACACAGCCCACGAGGCCCCGTCCTGCCATAATTGGGAGCCCTGATTAGCATATGCGCATCCTCATTAGCAATTACACACATGTCCTCATTTCCTCCTCCAAACAAGCCCACGATGGGGACCCGGGAGCTGGAGCAAACACGGGGCGGTGGGTCGGACCCTGAGCCAACCCCCCCACCCTCCGCCATCGCCTGAGACCACCAAACTCATCGCACTTGTGCCCGGGAGCAGAGGCACCACCCCCAGCATCCCGG